TTTCAGCGTCTCGTGGCCTCTGCGGCGCCCGAGCCCGCGATGTCGGGCCCCAATATGGGAATGCCGGTGGTACCGAGCACGGAAGACGAGGATGACAGCTTCGGGGAAGCAGGTGACGCGGGGGGACTGCTGAGCGACCGTTGCTTTTCCGGGTACCCTTTGTCAAATCCCTGGGCCTCACCGATGACAACATCGTCTTCCCTGTCCCAATCGGTAATGGCCAGCTGGGGAGAGGAGAGGGCGGCCTGGGGCTGGCCAGGCCTGATGACGTCCCACCAGGGAAACGGGGAGAGGAGGCCCGCTCCCCTCTAGTCCCTGGAGCCCCTGGGAGCCACTTTGGGTTCAGAAAGACCATGCCCCAGCCCAGGGTCTGCGGGGCCCCCGGGGGTCTGAGTCCCAAGGACTCTTCCCTGAGAGATGACTTGGGCCGACCCAGATGAGAGGTTCAGGCCGGGCCAAGCAACCCAGTCTCATTGCCTGGGCCGCCTCTCCCTATAGCCCAGGTCCTGCTGTTCTGGGCCACCTCCCCCCTCCCCTCCCCCTGGGGCTTGCTCACCACTGAGTTGGTAGGTCAGCCTGGCCAGGCAGGGGCTGTACCCAGGCCACTCACAGAGCCACCGGCCTCCCCAAGGCTGAGGGGCTGCCAGGGCTCATCAGGTCAACGGGCAGGAGACCTCGGTGCCCAGCAGGTGGCTGGGCCTCGTTTGAGTCCTTGAGAACAAGTGACCCCCAGGTGTTCTCAGGCCTTTCTCTAGATCCCCTCCCCCATCATCTGCCCCTCTGCTGCCCCAGCCCTGAAGGGAACCCCTAGATCTGCTGCTCCTGGGCCAGGCTGGGGCCTGGGGCAGCCGGGGGGCAGGGCAGGGGTCCTGGTGGTCAGGGGTCACACACACATCCCTGCCTATTGTGACGAACTGTCTCCCCCACAGACAAGTGCATCGATGACCAGTGAGCAGGTGGTGAGTATGGACGGGGAGGGGGCTGATGGGAGCCAGAGGGCAGGGGCCTGCTGCTCCCCTACCCGGCATTGTCGCCATTGTGACTCCCCTGCGTGCCTCTCAGATGCCTCCTCTTCCTCCTTCCCGTTGCCTTCATATCCGCCTCCGCCCAAGGTGCCACCCAGCTGCCCCCACGAGCCGGACGCCACTGAGAGCCAGGATCCTCTCACAGTGCGGCCCAGCGCTGCTCCCAGGCCACCCTGCTGATGGAGTTGCTCCTTGACTGCTAAATAAACACATGCCACAGCCCCCCAGTCTGTGTTCCTTGCCCACTGGGCCATCTGAGAGGTCAAAGGGCAAAGGGTGGCTCTCAGCATTACTCCCAGGCCGCCTTGAGGCCCGCAGTGAGGGATGGAGGTCACGGAACTTGAGTCCATCTTTGACTGAATACCTCCTAAGTCCCAATCCTGGGTCCACCCCCAAGCCAATGCTAGCCCTCACATGTCCTTGCCTTTGAGGGGTTCCCAGGCCAATGGAAACACTGAGGTCACACCTCATGTCTACACTCAGCCACTTGCAACAGGTCCTACAACAAAGGCCTCGCCAGGGCCGGGGAGCTGGAGGGAACAGGGGAAGCTGAAGTGCTGTCACCCCCAACTCACCCCCAACTCACCAGGATCCCTGTGATGTTAGAAGATGGCAGCCAACAGTAGGTGGGACAGAGGAATGCCCAGCTTGAGGCTGTGCCAGGCACAGAGGGTCCCCAGGGGTAGTCCCTTGCTCCTTGGCCAGCCTCCTGTGGGTCCAGTGCTCGCCCTCCTGCCCCCACTGGTGAGTGGCAGTATCCATGCTGACCCCATTCAGAGCACTGTCCCTCAACCACCCCTCTCCTCTATGATGACGTCTGGACCACCTGGGGCAGGGCTGGGGGAGGCGAAAAGGGGGAGATGCTGCCAGGGATGCAGATTCCAGAGGCCTGAGGGCCCCAGGCCAGCACCACCACTGGCAGGGCCTGTGTCTGGGGCCTGACAAGCTCCTGCCCGGCCACAGGCTGCAGCTGGAGCCCCTCCTCACCGGTGACGCACCCGGGAACTCCCTCTCCCACCTCTTCCCCCCTGGCAAGGCCAGAGGCCAGAGGAGGCCAGCTTCCAAGGGAACCCAGGCTCCTCCCCCCACAGACTTGCACACCTGTCCCCTTCGCCCTTGGCAGGGGCATGGGGAGGTACTGGAGCTGTGAGCAGTCCCAGCCTCAGCCAGCAGGGAGCAGGACAGACCTGGACCCCGGCCCAACCAGATGCTGCTGGAGCTCGTGGCCAGACTCCAGGGAAAGATGAGTTTAGTGGAGCCTGGACTGAGAGAGGGATGGGGCCATGCCCAAGGCACCCAGCTGCCCCCAGGCACGCTCCTAGCACCCTGTCGGACCCAAAGATTCCTCCCTCTCCCGGAATGGTCCAAGTGCTGTCACCTGCTCCATCAGGGGCACAGGTGCTTCTCGAGGCGGCTGTGAGGGTGTGCCGGCCCCCAGTAGGGAGGAGTGGAGGCTTGGCAGGAGGGTGGCCGATTGGGGGACAGGAGAAAGGATGCCCCCACTTTATAGTCCGGGGTGGGGGTGGGGGTGGTGTCAGCTGACCTGGGTGAGGGACTGGTTCAGCTGAGGCCTCACCTCCACTCACCGTGGTTCAGGGAGAAGGCGGTGGCACTGACGTATGCAAGTCACTCCCAGCTGGAGATCACACCTCTGGGTCCGGCTCAGGAGCGACACTTGCTGGCTGGTGACTGAGCAGGGCTCCCTTTCCCAGCTGGCAAAGGGGTGGGGGTGATGGCGGCTGGGCCAGGCGTCTCCCACGGCCTTTCTTGAGCGACAGCCACACGCAGCTCTCTGCCAGCCGTGACTCTCCAGGAGGCTGTGAACGAAAATGTTCCGAAGCCATTGATTAGGGGGGTCCTTAGAAAGCACGCGTCTCAGATTTCGCCCACGCGGAGGCGCTGCTGGCCCACCCACAGGTCGCCAGCGGCAGGAGGGGCGGAATGGGGATAGAACGGGGGAGGCGAGGTCCCAGACTGCTGCTGCCCCTCCACCCAACTCGCTTGCCCGAGCCTCCACCATCAGGGCTTCCCGGCCAGCAGCCTGGGGGTGGCGGGGCCGGGAGAGAGTGAGGAGCCTGACGGAGAGGGCGGGG